GATCATTCTATAAGTGGAAATTAATATATTCATCATTTCTCCGCTTCTTTTTTCTCTATTTCTGTTCCTTTCCCGAAGCTAATCATTCCATTATAAATAAAGAGTTCAAAGTCAAAACCTTAGTTTTTTATTTTATTTTATTTCTATGGGAACATTATCTAACCCTCTCGAACACTGTTTCATGTAAAAGAAACAGTTGCAAGTTGCTTTATAATCCTAGATGGACACACAGCTAAATTCGTGTAACTAAAATTATTATAGCATATTTTTTTTCTTCCTTCATATATGAACAGTGTTTTTATTACATTAACATACCTTTGATTTCACTCTTTTCCAACAATTTAAGTTATATGTACTACAAACAATAACAACGACCAATCCATATAATCCTATATAATGAAGTCTGGGAAGAGTAATGTGTAAGCTGATCTTGCCCCTACCTAAAATTATATGTACGGATAATATAAATAACTTTTACACCATCAAAATATATTAAAGGTATTTATTTTATTGTTCAGTTATTAATCTTAATTTTTCATAGATGTTTGTTTGTATCTTTAAGAAGCATCAAAGTATAAAATTCAATTTAAATCAATTATTGTATGGTCCCTTCCATTTGAACAAAGCAATTTTAGTTAAAAATCATAGTGACATTACACCTGCAATATTGCCTTTGGCACTTTACATGTAAGTCCATTTTTATTCATCATTGCCATAATGGTTTCTTGGTAAAGAATCAAATAATTACATAATGGTGTAAAGTATGATGAGTAACTACTTTTTTACCTTATCAACTTGATATGACAGTTATTACCTTAACAAGAAAACAAACAACTGTCTTTCTCTTTTCCCCCACAGCCAATACCCTCTTCTCACTCACCGTATTATTATCATATGAGGACCATCCGGGTTGTCACGATCCGGATTTCCCATCGTCGGGAGTCGTGATGGCGCCTACTAACGAAGCTAGGCAAGCCAAACATTTTAAACATTCCCTGATTTCACCTCAACAAGAACAATATAAATATAACGAGTCATTTAAATTAAAGCGGAAGTCTTTAAATCATAGATAACTGAAAACCCAAAATGCGGAAGCTTAACTTTTCTCTACCCAAGACTGGTATCGCTATCTCACGAACTACTAAAGAGTGCTACAAACAAGTCTGAATAGAAATACATGAATGTCTGTCATCGATACAATGAAAACAAACTGAAAACATAAAAAGGGACGCCGACCTGCGAACGCCAGCTAGGCTACCTCGTAAGTCCCTGGACTGAAGTCAGCTCCCGATCGATATCCTACTGCTGTGGTCCAAAAGCTGCTCCGGTACCGTGATCTGTGCAAAAGAGCACAGAAGTGTACCATCAGCACAACCGACCCCATGTGCTGGTAAGTGCCTGGCCTAACCCCGGCGAAGTAGTGACGAGGCTAGACAGGACTACCAAACCAAACTGTGCAGTTCAATATATATAGGAAATAAAAGGGAAGAATACAGAAATTAAACAGTTAAGAGGGAGGGGAGCATACTATGGAGCAGTACAGTCCGGACATAAAGTCAACAATTTAAGTAAGAAACAGGGTAATAACAATAATTAATGAGAGCAGGAAAATCAACAGTTGCACGACATCAACGTTCGTGCTTTTACTCTCATTCTCACCAAAAGCAATCAAATAAAGTGCACGGCATCACCCTTCGTGCTTTCCCTCACATAACACTCATATCATGCACGGAAAGATCCTTCGTGCAATTATAATCAAATCAGAGCACGGAATGACCCTTCGTGCAAATATAATCAAAACATGACACACAATGACCCTTCATGCAAATATAATCAAAACATGGCACGGAATGACCCTTCGTGCAAATATAATCAAAACATGGCACGGAATAACCCTTCGTGCATTATCACTCTTCCTCACCCAAACAGTAATCACAACCAAACGGGGCGAGGGGATAAACAAATAATAAGAAATGTCCCGACAAGGGAATTACACAATTAACAGCTAAATACCGGCAATGTAGATAATCAATATACTCAAACCATCCCGGCAAGGGATTTATCATATCTCTTTCTATTTCTTTCATTTCTTACTCAATAGTCTTTTTATCGTCCAAGCCAACGCTCCAAAGAATTTACAATTCATAATTAGTCCTCATACTCTTCACATTGCATAGAATTCATCAATTAACATGGAAGAGTCATAACATTATCAGGGTAAATACATACAAGGACCCACGGTCATGCTAGACACCGGTTTATAGATACTCGTCACCATGCCTATACACCGTACTCGATTCATTTAGCAATTAGCGAATAATAACACTCTAATCATATTCCCTCAAGCCAAAGTTAGATCAAACACTTACCTCGGTCCAAAGAATAACAATCAATCCTCAAATACCGCCTTTCCTCTACAATCCGACTCCGAAACAATGATATCTAGGTATAATTAATTCAATAATATCAATAACGACTCAATGGTAACCTCCCATAGCCTAGATATGAATTTCCTAGCATTCTTCCAAAAATACCAAAATTCGACACCGGGCCCACATGGTCCAAACACGAGGCTCGGACCAAAACCCAATCATCCATAACCCCACTAGTTCCAATATGCAATTTGTTTTAAGATTCGACCCCAAATTGAGGTTGAATCACCCAAAATTCTCAAAAACCTAACTCTACCCAAAACCCTTAATTTACACCCTAAATTACATGATTTAGGTCTAGGAATTTGATAAATGATGATAGAAAATGAAGAAAACGAGTTAGAAGATACTTACCCAAGAAGCTTTGGTGAAGAATCGCTCTAAAAGTCACCTAAGGGCTGTGGAGAAGAAGAGCTCGTGCGTTTTGGGTGAAAAATCCCGTTACCGCTCTGTTTTTATGCTTTAAGAATAACTGGGCGAATTTGCCCTACGCATTCGCGAGAGGGAAGTCACGTTCGTGATAGGCAACAGGGTAGGGCTTCGCGTTCGCGATTTGGGGAATGCGAACGCGAAGGGAAAAACTGAGGGGGGTCCAGGCATTGTTCTACGCGAACGCAAGAAGGACCACGCGAACGCGATTGGGGAGATGGCAAAGCTACGCGTTCGCAAACGGTGAAATGCGAACGCGAAGAAGGAATTACTGGGGCCCTGAGTTTGGCTTACGCGTTCGCGATGATCAAGACGCGAACGCGGAGGAGGAAAACACAGAGCTACGCGAACGCAAGGGGAGGAGTGCGAACGCGAAGAAGGAAATCCCTGTGCACAAATACCAGATTTTCTGCAATTTTTTCTAAGTTCAAAACACCCCGAACCACCTCCGAATCACTCCCGAGTCCTCGGGGCTCCTAACCAAACACACACACTAACTAAACAACCTCATACGAACTTAACCGTGCGATCAAATCGCCAAAATAACATCATAAACGAGGAATCAAACCTCAAAATCATCACTTTTTCATCAAACTTCATAAACTTCAAATTTTAGATATTTAGGTCCGAAACACGTCAAATGACGTCCGATTTCGACCAAATTCCACAAGCGCTTAAACCATATATAAGACTTGTACCGGGCGTCGGAACCAAAATACGAGCCCGATACCACAGTCTTTTAATCAATTTTCATTTCCATTTTCCTTAATAATTTCAGAAAAATAATTTCACAGAAAAATTCTTTTCTCGGGCTCTAGACCTCGGAATTCGACTCTGCGCATATGCCCGAGTCCCATATTTTTCTACGGATCCCCCGGGACCGTCAAATTACGGGTCCGGGTCCGTTTACCAAAAATATTGACCGAAGTCAACTTTAATCATTTTAAAACTACATTTTGAAATTTTTCACTGAATTTAACATATAATCTTTCCGGCTACGCGCCCGGGCTGCGCACGCAAATCGAGGCAAGTAAAAATGAGGGTTTTCAAGGCCTCGGAAGCACGGAAAAAGAGAAAAATTCGGTGATGACCCTTTGGGTCGTCACACGGGTGCACTAAGCTTTCGCTATAATTGTACGTAAATGTACGCAACCTTACCCTATATTTATACAAAAGACTATTTTATCGCTCGAACTCGTAGGGGACGTTTGATAGGAGGTATTAGAAAAAAAATGCAAGCATTGGCTCTATGCGTTACTAATACCTTGTTTGGTACATTTTTCAACCTGTATATCCTATGTATAACTAATGCACAGAAAACCATTGCATTAGTAATACCAAGGCTATTAATGCATGTATTAGTATGATTAAAGATAAAATTATCCTTAAAGTTCCTTAAAACTAAAGAATATGAAGGACATTTTTGTAAACAATTATTTTTCTTAAAAATTATGCAATGCATTATAATTTTAATACACCACACCAAACAATAGATAAGAAACAATATATGCATAACTAATGCTTGCATTACTAACCCATGCATTACTAATCCGTGCATTACTAATCAGGGGCGAAGCTGTGCTCTTCTAAGGGTGGTCAACTGACCACTCTTCGTCAAAAAATTACACTGTATATATAAGTAAAATATTAAATTTTCGAGGCATATAACATATATTGAACACCCTATGTCGGAGAATTTTTTTTTCTTCTTTCAAGTTTGAACACCCTTGGAGTAATTTCTGGCTTCGCCGCTGTTACTAATACACCTTATTCCGCACTATTCTTATACACCCTACCAAAAAACCCCGTAATCTCCTGATCACATAAAAATAAGTTTACCAGTTACGTCAAATTTCTGGTTCAGTCACCATATTATTATATTCCATCACCCATGGCTTCATAAAACAACACACACCCTTACCCCACACAAAAACCCAAACCCCATTTCTCGTGAGTACATTACTGCATATGTTGTGGGGTGGGGTGATGGGGTAGCTGGGTTTAGGGGGGGGGGGGGAAGAAGAGGCTTAAAGAGAGAAGAGTGGTCGTTATCAAACTTGAGAAAGGATTACCCATTTGGGGTTTCCTTCTTTGCAGAGACAGTGACTTATGATGAAGTGAAGCCTCAGAAAGCTCTGCTTCTACCATTACACACACACACACATAATGAAAATAAAAGAAAAAAGAGAAAAGAACAGTACTTTTTATAAATAAGTGTGTATAATAAAAAGGCACTAGTAATTAAAAAGCAGAGAGAGAATAGTACTAATGCTAGTATCCATAGCTGTAATGTTGCAGGTCTGATTTTTGCAGACAGAGGTCCTTCTTGGGCACAACTTCTTTTAACTTTATCTTCTCCAAATAATTCTCTTTCTTTTACATTTTACATTTATTTATTTATTTATGTACATTACATTTTCTTCCTCTCTCTCTCTCTGCCAGAGAACGATGTGATTGAACACTACACTACCCCTTCTTATACTCTCCCAGCTCTCAGCTCAACCCCCTACCCCCCTTAACCCCATCACCCCCACCAGGCCAAAAATTACTTCTTTCTTTCTTTCTTTCTTCAAATTTTGTCATAATTCTGAGTAATTATTCCTCCATTCTCTATCTCAAATATCAATGTCGGTAAGCCCAAGAAGAAGTGGCTTTCATACTTTCCATTTCAAAACAACCATTTTTGCAGAGTCAGTCTTGAGTTAGTCAAAGCTTCACTTCTCCACTAGTAGTCATCATAATAAAAAGTTTAACTCTTTGACAGTGACTTATTAGTATTGGCTTCTTTTATTTGTTGCTGGTCTCTGAGCTCTCTTCTTGTTAAGCAGAGTCAGTCTTGAGCTCTCAAGTTTTTTGAGAGAGAGAGAAAAAAAACCAATGGCAGCATTTTCATTTGTTATGCTACAAAGGTGTAATCTTTTCTCTAAGTTTCTTATTGTTGGGTTCTTGCTGTTTTTGAGCTTTGGTTCTGTGGTTTCTGAGGATGGTGAGTGGAGCATTATTCTATTCTTATGTGTTTCTTTAATCTTGGTTCTTTATTATTTTAATGTTGAACATGTTTAAAAAAGAAGTTCCCTTTCTTTATTTTTAATCATTTTTTTTAATTGGTCTTTTGACGTTATTATGATTTGATTAATACTATGTTTGTCCTTGTTTTTAAGGTTTATTCTTTTGTCTTATTAGTTAGTTTTTTTTACTGGAAAAAAGGTTCAACATTGTTGGAGATTAAGAAGTCATTTAGAGACGTGGAAAATGTGTTGTATGACTGGACAGACTCTCCCTCATCTGATTACTGTGCTTGGAGAGGTGTTACCTGTGACAATGTTACCTTCAATATTATTTCACTGTAAGTTATACTAGTAATTTGTTGATGCATTACATTGTTTAGTTTAAAGTTGTAATCTTTTTTTGTTAATTGGTTGCTTTTTATGTATCTTGTAGTAATCTTTCTAGTTTAAATCTTGATGGGGAGTTATCTCCTGCAATAGGACAGCTCAAAGACCTGATATCTATGTAAAATCTCTTTCCCTTTTGGTCATGCTTGCCTTTTTATTTTGGTATGGATATGGTACATTATCTACTCTACTATGCTAATTTAGTGTTTGTTAAATTAATAGTGATTTAAGGGGAAATCGCCTCACGGGGCAGATACCAGATGAGATTGGTGACTGTTCAGCCTTGAAAAATTTGTAAGTCTTTTCTTTAAGAAAAGGTGATGAATAATCCATAAGTTGTTTTGAAAAATAATAATTTTTTTTCCTTTTTGTTAGGGACTTATCCTTTAATGAGCTTTATGGTGATATTCCCTTTTCCATATCAAAACTTAAGCAGCTGGAATATCTGTAAGTTTTGTTACTTTGCTTAACTAGGTGTTCTATTATTTGGTTTCCAAGATTGTCAATAACTCAAGCTTGTCTTAATTGAACTTAGGATTTTGAAAAATAATCAGTTGATTGGCCCAATTCCATCGACATTGTCACAGATCCCAAATTTGAAAGTTTTGTAAGTATCATCTCTTCTACTACTTTATGATATTTTTGGATTATGGATGATTTCAACATTATAATGCAATAAAATTGTTCCAGAGACCTGGCTCAAAACAAGTTGAGTGGAGAAATTCCTAGGCTTATATATTGGAATGAAGTCCTTCAGTATCTGTAAGTGTCTTTCATATATTCCATTGAGACACTATTTATGAATGAAAATGCCTTTTATATGATTTTTATTCACGTAATAGGGGACTACGCGGTAACAACTTGGGTGGATCACTTTCTCCTGATATGTGTCAGCTCACTGGCCTGTGGTATTTGTAAGTTCCTAATCTTGTTCTTAAAATCATGCGTTAACTCCTTTTAGAGATAATCTGAATCGATTATCCATCATTTGTTTTGTGCAGTGATGTTCGGAACAATAGTTTGACTGGTTCCATTCCTCAAAACATTGGCAATTGTACTGCCTTCCAAGTCCTGTAAGTATCTAACTCAAATGCATGAAGTCAACTATTTTTCTATGTATGTTTGGTTGACATAATGCCTTGTTTTTATGCTGTCAGAGATTTGTCTTATAATGAGTTGACCGGAGAGATTCCTTTCAACATTGGTTTCCTGCAAGTAGCTACCTTGTAAGTTTATGCTGCTGCTTATCTTTATTCACAAAACCTTTGCATGGTTTATGGTTATATATATCAAATGTGAAACTTTGTCGTGCCAGGTCTTTGCAAGGTAATCGTCTTTCAGGGCAGATCCCTTCTGTCATTGGATTGATGCAGGCTCTTGCAGTTCTGTGAGTGCTTTACTACTTGTTATCTCAGTTTCTGGATATCGAATAATGCATCTCTTGTCTAAGCTTTTCTGACCCTTATATATCCAGGGACTTGAGCTGCAATAATTTGAGCGGAATAATTCCTTCAATTCTTGGGAATTTGACCTACACCGAGAAATTGTCAGTACTAAAATGTTGTTATTTCAAAGTCTTGGGATTTATTCACACTACATTTGTTATTTTACTTTCGCTAGAGACCCAACTTTAGCTTTTATTTGATCATGCTGTGCTACCAAAATTGTGTACTTGATTGATGTTCTGTAATTTTTTTAATTGCAGGTATTTGCATGGGAACAAGCTAACTGGCCCCATTCCGCCAGAGCTTGGGAATATGTCAAAGCTCCATTACCTGTATGAATGCTTTCTATCGATATGATCAGTGCACTTAATATTTCTCCGGCTTTGTTAAATTTGCATTTGAGACTCCACTAAGTCCAGAAGACGGTATTTTGCAGGGAATTGAATGATAACCAACTCACTGGACGCATTCCACCAGAACTGGGGAAGCTAAATGAGTTGTTTGACTTGTACATCCTCTATCTCTTTAACTTCTACTCCGGGCTTGTTATCATCTGTTTTTGAGTTGCTAACTGTTATGTTCAGAAATGTTGCAAACAATAACCTTGATGGGCCCATACCATCCAATCTTAGCTCTTGTACCAATCTGAACAGTCTGTAAGTGTTTTTTCATGCCTGTTGCACCTCGATTATGACTAGACAATCTTGTAGGAGAATTTGTTCATTCACTGGTTTGGTTGCAGCAATGTTCACGGAAACAAATTGAATGGAACAATTCCACCTGCCTTTCAAAAGCTCGAAAGCATGACCTATCTGTAAGTTCTTACCCTCTGGCTTAGCATTGACAGTTTTGAACTGTGTATTAGTACATAAAAGAACTATCCTCAGCATCATCCCAGTTATGTGAACTTCAATATCCGATCGCATAGCACGAGTGTTTACTGTGTCTTCTTTATTACTTTCTTCAGGAATCTCTCCTCCAACAACCTCAAAGGTCCAATTCCAATTGAGCTTTCTCGTATTGGGAATTTGGACACGCTGTAAGCGCAATTTTTTTTCATCCACTCCAATTACTTCTCTTCAATTATGGTTGTAGCAAAAAACTTTTTCTCAGTTTTAGTACTCTTCTACATTTGGTGGCTTAGGGACTTATCAAACAACAGGATCAGTGGTTCTATACCTTCTTCCCTTGGTGATTTGGAACATCTTCTTAAACTGTGAGTTTATATCTGTTTGATTGTCAGTTAACCATTGTATAACTGTTGTACTCACATTCATTTTGTGAATTTGCCGTAGGAACTTAAGCAAGAATGATATACATGGATACTTGCCAGCAGAATTTGGCAATTTAAGAAGCATCATGGAGATGTAAGGACACCTACTTGCTAAATTCAGTGAGCTAGATATTATGGTTCGCTTGATTTTCAGCTTCTTTGTCCAATCTCTTAATTGCAGTGATTTGTCAAGAAATCTCCTATCTGGTCCCATACCTCAGGAACTTGGTCAACTTCAAAATCTCTACTTGCTGTAAGTAGATTAGAATTATTCATTTTTGGCCCCTCATCCTTTTTGCTACTGATCATATGATCTTGTCTCAGTTATTCTTATTGATAAGTGTGGGACTTATACATAGCATTTCTCTGTATTTTGTTGATGCTTGATTATTCTACAAAAAAATGAACAGGAAGGTGGAGAACAACAATTTATCAGGCGATGTCATGTCATTAGCCAGTTGCCTCAGTCTAAATGTCCTGTGAGTATGCACACTAGCAGTATTACACGTGCCCGATAAAGTGTTCCGTATAGCTAATGCAACTTTATCTCGTCAGGAATGTCTCGTACAATAATCTGGGTGGGAATATTCCAACAGGAAATAATTTCTCTAGATTTTCACCTGATAGGTAGGGGAACTATAAATCTTTCCACTCACTGATTTTTCACTTGTTATGTGTTGAGTTTACACCAGTAAAAACATTCATTGTTTTTTAGTTCATAGCTTCTAATCCTTTGCTTTTGTTTCTGTTGCCAAAAAAGCTTCATAGGAAATCCAGATCTATGTGGATATTGGCTCAGTTCTCCTTGTCATGCTTCCCATCCAACAGAGCGAGGTGAGAACAAGCTCAAACAGAACTTCTTTCTAAAACTTGCTGTATTGCATCCCTGAAGTTTATTTCATCTAAACACTCGCAAAATTAATTAACCACGGCAGCCAGATACATAGATTTAGGAGGAAATTCTTGGTTAAGCAATCATTTGTGTTATTAGGGAACCATAAGGTTTCTTCTGTTCATAATCCTTGATTGCTACATTTGGATGTCTGCAGATTGAACTGAAATCATATTCATTTGCTGCCTCAACAGTATATTAAGTCACGATATTTTAGCAGTTGTCTAATTAATAAATTACTACTCATTGGAGTATTGCAGTTTCAATTTCTAAAGCAGCTATACTTGGTATTGCTTTGGGTGGTTTGGTGATTCTTCTGATGATACTGGTAGCAGCATGCCGGCCACAGAATCCTGCACCCTTCTTGGAAGGGTCTATTGACAAACCAGGTATTATTTTTTCCTTCTCAGACGAACCATCACTTATATATTATGGAAGTACCTTTCACTGATTGTTTGATGATTTTTATCAACAGTCAATTACTCATCTCCGAAGCTTGTTATCCTTCATATGAACATGGCACTTCATGTTTATGAAGACATCATGAGGATGACTGAGAACTTGAGTGAGAAGTTTATAATTGGTTCTGGGGCATCAAGCACTGTATATAAATGTGTTCTGAAAAATTGCAAGCCAGTAGCTATCAAGAAATTGTACTCTCACAACCCCCAATACTTGAAGGAATTCGAGACTGAACTTGAGACAGTTGGGAGCATTAAGCATCGTAATCTTGTCAGCCTCCAAGGATATTCACTTTCTCCATGTGGCCATCTTCTTTTTTATGACTACATGGAAAATGGTAGCCTTTGGGATTTGCTTCATGGTTAGTACTCCAAAGTGGTTAAGATTATTCGTGCATTGAATTTATAATGAAGGTTAGTAATCAGTCCTCTTTGGTTTGTACTTTATTCCAGGTCCTAGTAAGAAGAAAAAACTTGATTGGGATACTCGCATTCGAATTGCATTGGGATCAGCTCAAGGCCTTGCATATCTTCACCATGATTGTAGCCCTCGAATAATCCACCGGGATGTTAAATCATCAAATATTTTGTTGGACAGAGACTTTGAAGCTCACCTGACTGATTTTGGCATTGCTAAAAGCTTATGCACATCCAAGACCTACACATCCACATACATTATGGGAACCATTGGTTATATTGATCCAGAGTATGCTCGTACTTCTCGCCTCACGGAGAAGTCTGATGTCTACAGCTATGGAATTGTTTTATTGGAATTGCTCACCGGAAGGAAAGCTGTGGATAATGAATCAAATCTACACCATACGGTAAACTCTTCAAGTCATTTGACATATCCCTTTTTATATCTTACAAAACCTTTTGTTGTTTTACCTTAATTTAAACTGGCGGATCCGAATGTTTTCTCCTTACTTTGTTCATCAAAGTAGCTTTTTAGTAGCTTAACTTTAGTAAATATGAACGTGTGCTATGATCGTCAATTTGTTTAAAGATTCAGATCTTGAACAGTTTTACAAATTTTTCAGATTCTAACAAAGGCAGCAAATAATGCTGTTATGGAAACAGTGGATCCTGAGATCACAGCCACATGCAAAGATCTTGGAGATGTAAAGAAGGTTTTTCAGCTTGCCCTTCTATGTACTAAAAGACAGCCAGCTGAAAGGCCAACAATGCATGAAGTGGCCAGAGTACTCGAAAGCTTAGTACCCGTAGCTGAAACGAAACAGCCGAATCCAACCCCACCTGCATTGCTCCCATCAGCTAAGGTTCCCTGCTACATGGATGAATATGTCAACCTCGAGACACCCCACCTAGTGAATTGTTCATCTATGAGCACTTCAGATGCTCAACTTTTTCTTAAATTTGGAGAGGTGATATCCCAGAATAGTGTCTGAAAAACATATTGAGTGTTGTTACAAATCAGTATTTTGTTTAAAAGAAAAAAATATCTATCTTGAAGCATCAGGATTTAGTGAGATTTTGTATAAAAATGTGGTGACAAGTATAATATTATTGTAGGTAGTTTGTAGTAAGATGCATAGTGGACCAAGCTTTTCCACTCCATAGGTCTAGTGTTTGTGTATCTCAAAATTCATGTATAAATATTTCACTTTTTACCCTTGTCAAATTGGAAGAAGTAGTATTAAATTATTGGTTTTGGGGCCACTGGTGCTCTGAGTATGGACTGTACTGTCTGCAAGATTTTTGGCTCACACTTTGAGGTGGCCTTAGCACTGCATTTGTGGTATATAGCAATAATGGATTGAATTGTGGACCTAAGTTGACAGCCTCTCTGCGACTGTTTCTTGACTGCTATTTATGCATTTATTTGGTGGACTGTAACTTCCTCAGAAACATTGAAACCTTCTGCTAGCTACTAGTAGCTACTATAGTGTGATAACTTAGACGAATCCAATATTAATTAAATACGGGAGAGATGTTAAGATATATAAGCAAACATGCCTTAAATTTTAGTGATGCATTTTAAAGTTATGCGGGTCTAGGCTCAAAGTGAATAATATCACTATAGGGTTGGACTATTATATATGCTATTAGAGCCAATCCGCGTGCCACTTTGAATGATGGTGGAAAAAACTTTAGTTAGGACATTAAGTCTATAGGAGGGTATACGTGACACCTTAGGCGAATCTCACATCGGAAAAATGCGGGAGAAGATGTTGGGTTATATAAGTAAGCATGTCTTAAACTCCATGAGGGTCTAGGCATAAAACGGAAAATATCACTAGTGAGGTGGGCTGGGGTGGGTTATTACATGTGGCTAAGCCAAGCATGAAAGGGATAATAAAATATGAACTGAAGTTACTATATACATGGATAGTGAAATCTTTTTTAACAAGTTCAATATTATTTCTATCAAGTTGTTAATCAAATCATATAGATATTATTTATAAATGCTTTACTAATAATTTAATTGTGTAAATGTTTTCCTCTTGAAATTTATACTCATAAATTATTTGGTTCCCTAGCATTGTGATCTTGACCTGCTGCTGTTTGAGGAGGCATGCTTTGAGAATGCAGTGGCTAAGGATTATCTGAATGGGCATTATAAGTCTGCATTCAGTTTTCCCATACATTTTGGTCAGAGTTTGCTGTTAGTTCCATCCTGTCTGAATTTTAATAAATATTCACCTAAATGTTGAATTTTTTATTACCTTGTCTATACCTTTAGATTAATTGAAATTTTTTAAGAACTTTTGTACTCCTTGTCTCATGTCACCTTGTGTTTAAAACTTCGTATATAAACACATGCAAGTTAAATAAGTATTATTTAGGATCAAGTACACTTTACGTAAACTTTAATGTTATTGCATGTTTGTCAGTTATTCATGTTACTTTTCTAACGGCAAATCAAGTGCGTTATATATTATATGCGATAAATAAAGAATAGTAATTAATTTGGATACATTTCCTTATAGTAATAATGAAATATATCATGTGTTTCAATTCGTATGATAATCTTTTCATTTTGGGGTGCTTTAAATAGTTTTTTACACTGTTTCATTTTCTATGTATAATTTATTAAACTCTCAAATTCTAAATTTTTATATTATGTCCTTTCTGTCGAATAAATTTTTCAATCACATTTAATATTCTTTTCTTCAATCACTAATATAGAGTATATATCCAAATTGACATTTAAAAATCCGCGCCTTTCTCTCCGGTGAAAAAATGGTTAACTTTTGCAATTTGTATACTTTTTTGTAAAATAAAAAACCGTACTAATTACTACCAATAGGATATCATATAATCATCGTAATCTGAGAATGATCTTGTGTGATGACCCAAAAGGTCATCTTATGTTTTAGAACTCGATTCCGTGTTCCGAGACATTCAAAACCTCATTTTATTCCTCCTCGATTTACGTGCGCAGTCCGGGCGTCTTTCCGGAAAGCATTTATGTTGAAAGTTGATAACAATAACATTTTTTGCCTTTAAAAGTTGAGTTAGTTGACTTCGGTCAACGTTTTGAGTAAACGGACCGGGCTCGTGTTTTGACAGTCCCGGTAGGTCCGTACCGAAATATGGGACCTGGGCGTATGCCAGTAATCGAATTCCGAGGTCCCTAGCTCGAGAAATAAATTTTTGATGAAAATTGAAAGACTGAAAATTAAATGGTTTTAAGAATTTGGTTAATGTTTGATCTTGTTGGTATCGGGACCGTATTTTGGTTCCGGAGCCCGGTACAGGTCCAAAATAATATTTATACCTTATCTGTGCAATTTGGTGAGAAACGGAACTCATTTGACGTGATTCGGACGTCCGATTGTGAAAATAGGATTTTCAAAGTGTTATGAGGCCCGTATTTTGGTTCCGGAGCCCGGTACAGGTCCAAAATGATATTTATACCTTATCTGTGAAATTTGGTGAGAAACGGAACTGATTTGACGTGATTCAGACGCCCGATTGTGAAAATAGGAATTTCAAAGTGTTCTTAAGAATTTCATTTGATTTGGTGCTAAATTCGTAGTTCTAGGTGTTATTTTGGCCATTTGATCGTACGAGCAAGTACGTATGATGTCTTAAGACTTGTGTGCATGTTTGGTTTGGAGCCCCGAGGGCTCGGGTGAGTTTCGGGTAAGCTACAGCGTGATTTAAAACATAGAAAAATTGTTGGTGTTCTTCAGCTGTGTTGCAGGCCTCAGACCTCGCAAATGCGAGGTCAAGCTTCGCATTTGCGACTACTATTGAGGTCGCATTTGCGAGATTCTCATCGCAAATGCGAGAGAAGCTAGGCCATCCTAAGTTCGCAAATGCGAACAAACCTTCGCATTTGCGATGGGGCAGGGGGAAGGTTGACTTCGCATTTACGACCATTTAACTGCATTTGCGATCAGCTCAGCTCGCAATTGCGAGCATTTCTTCGCTTTTGCGAAGGAAGCAGGAGTGCGAGAGACCTCGCAAAATGCGATGGTTTTCTCGCATTTGCGAGCTTTCACAATTGCGAAGCTCAGGTCGCAAAATGCGACATTTGCAGTTGTGTAAAAGGGACTTAGACGGTCATTCATTCTCCAAAATTTCAAAACCTAAAATAGAAGAGGCGATTTTCCAAAGACCATTTCTTCCCCAAATCATAGGTAAGTGATTCATATCTCATTTCTTTCAATCCTTCACTTCATTTTACAAGATTTCAACCTAGAATCTAAGATTTTCATGGTGGAATTGGGGATTTTTGGGTAGAAACTAGGGATTTCGAAATTTTGGGATTTAGACCTCAAATTGAGGTTGGATTCCAAAACGAATTATATGACTTGGCTCGGGGGTGAATGGGCAATCGGGTTTTGGTCCGAATTTCGGGTTTGGACCAAGCGGGCCCGGGTGTTGACTTTTTAAAGAATGGCCTAAATTGAATTCCTTGCAATCGTGGGTAGTTCATAAGGCTTAGATTGAATTGATTTGGTTGGTAATTTGCTTGATTCTATTGGTCTAGAGGCTTGTTTAAAGGGAAAAGCGGTGATTGAGCTTTGAGTTGGCCGTTGGAGTGAGGTAAGTATTGTGTCTAACTTTGACTCGGGGGATTAGGAATCCTTGACTTAATTGCTATGTGAAAATCCATGTGAGTGGCGTATAGATGAGGTGACGAGTGCCTATGCGCCGCCAACTTATCTGTTTTGCCTGTCTCCTTTCCGTTCTTAATATATTATTTTCCTGCCTTAATTGCTACATGCTTTACTAGTATTCCCATGCTTAATTGCCACTTGTTAGACATTGTTTTTCATTGATGAAGGTATTAGCTACCCCATAGTTTCATTGTCTCATATTATTGGCTTAAGCTGGTTTATCGGTGTTTTATTGTATATTTTAGATTGGTTTTGCTGAGTAGTATTATTTGAGTGAAGTTTCATAATGTACAAGCTTTCCGTTTGCTTTGGTTTGAGGTTTAAATATTGTGAAGAGTTTTAAGTTAAATTGTGCAATATTTTTTTTATTGTGTAATTGGTACTTATAAAGTGGGATCGGGTTGCACACCGCAACAGGAGGAATATGGGTGACATATTGAGGAGGAATAAGGGTGAAATGCTATTATATGGTGGGATTTGGTTGCGCGCCGCAACAGGAGGAATAAGGGTGAATTGCTATTATACGGTGGGATCGGGTTGCACGCCGCAACAGGAGGAATAAGGGTGGATTGATACGGAGTAATAAGGCATATTGATATTGATAATATGGTGGGATCGAGATGCGCACCGCATCAATTTATGTGTTTATGTATCTTTCTTCTACTGTGTAAGTTACTCTGAGTTTTTGCATTTCACTTAAAGATTGGTTATAGCTGGATACTGATGAGATACTTGAGTTCTGTATTCTTTCCTTGCAAGTTACTGTTTTATTATGTTCCGTTCTTCTTTCTGCTTTTATTATACACTGTATGCAGGTTATATTGTAATTGCCCCGCCGTAGCCTCGTCACTACCTCGTCGAGGTTAGGCTCGACACTTACCAATACATGGGGTCGGTTGTATTGATACTGCACTGTGCACTTTCTGTGCAGATTTCGGAGCAGGTAGTGGCTGATTGAGAGTTTGGCTTCAAGTTACACAGCTTGGAGACCCAAGATAGTCCTGTTGGCGTCCGCAGGCCCTGGCGTCCCCTTCTACTTCTCTACGTTACTGTTTTTTTTTATTTCCAAAATAATTATAATTTCTTTCAGACTGATGTTTGTAGAAAATCATAGTGTGTTCGTGGATTCTGACACCAGATTCTGGGTAGTAATGGTAATAGTATATGAACAAAGAGGTTGTTTACTTACTTCCGCAATTATTTCTACTTATTTTAGCTTGTTTACTCTTAATCATTGAAACGTAAAAAAATGGTTAATAATACTCTAACGTTGGCTTGCCTAGCAAATGTGACGTTAGGCGCCATCACGGTCCCTAGTGAGAATTCCGATTCGTGACATCTTGTCTCGTTGAAAAAGGCGATATGCGATTTAGAGAAGAGAGAAAAGTATTTTTAACTATAAAAAGGTAAAGTGTATAATAGTACTTTGGCTCAGTAAATAAATTTCATAAGTCTTGAGAAAAATAGATTATGTAAGTTGAAGTTCGTCTAATTCATCTATACTCGAATGAAAATAAAATAGGCACATATGTTGACTACGTCGATTGACCTGTTTCCGAGCCTAAAACCTTAAGAAATGAATATTAG